TGAGTCATTTGCTAAAGAACATGTGGAGAGAGCCAGATAAGAGAATGGGGAAAAAATACCCTGCCTTGCCAGTCTGCGCAGGAGCCCTTCTGTGTCCGTCTAAAGGGCCTCCAGCACCCATTCACCTCTGGCTGGGCCCTCCAGGCCAACGGCAGCATGATGGTGACAGGCATGCCGAAGAGGCCACGTGGCAAGACAGGAAGCAGGAAGAGCTGTGGCAACTGGATTTACTTCCCAACAACCCATTCTTGCCAGAACCAAACCACTCCGTGAGGTTAGCTTTGATCCATTTCTCTAGGCCCCACCTTCACCCTGTCCCACTGCAGCCTAAGCTTTTCTCTAGTGCGTGAAACTTCAGGCGACAGACTCAAGCCCTGTCCAATCAACAGCACTCTAACCCTCCCCTTGTGAGGCAGGCACTGTTAACTGCATTTTGCAGGCAGGAAAAATGGAGGCTTTGTGGAGCCTGGAGTCACGTGGTTGGCAGGAACTGATGCGCAAGCCCAGAAGTCCAACGCTAGACGCTCAGTATTTAGCTGCAGTGTGAAGATACCCCTGCAAAGGGTGGAGTCTTCAGCTGTTCTTTGGGTCTTTGAGAAAGCCCTCAGCTCCCAAAAGGCCTCCTTGGCATTGCTCTGTGGCAGTGTCATTGTTGTCTTTCATATCATAAGGAATATCCACCCACCAAGCAAGAGCATGACATGAGCGCCTTTTGGTGCCACTTTCAAGGCACCATATGTACCCATGTTCTCTCTGACATTCAGGATTTTATAATCAGTCATGGTTCAAGCCACGTGCATTTCCTATTACTCCTTTTCTGTAGGATGCTGGTTTCAGATCATGTTTCTCCTTCCCCCATCCTGACACGGATGCTCCTTTCAGAGGCTCTCATGTATGTTCTGGTCCTGGAAAGAGGCCAACTCAAAGATAGCCCAGAGCACAATGGCGCAGTGCCCTTACGGATGTGAACAACTGACTAAAGATGTCTACCAGTGTGCCTTGTCAGTCATGAGCCGAGATGGCTCAGAAGCAGGTAGTCTGCTCCTCTGTAAGTCTTTGGATCTGGCATTCTGGGGTCATCTTGCCCGTGTGGGAGTTGCTCACAGCTGCTTGCAGCAGTCGGAGCACCGTGGCTGTTGATGAGGAAACCTGCTTTGTGGAAACCAAATGCCTCCAGGATGACAACTTCTGCCTGCCCTTGCTGGAAAGAAAGAGCTGTTCGGACTTCCTCTGTCTGTTTCTTATTAAAGCCTAAGGGTGTGTGTTTGTTTCTCTGCTGGTTTTTAAGTAATGCTTTGAGTATTTTTCTCTTCGGTATAACAGCAACATATATACTTATGGTGGAGACTTTAGATACCACAGCAAAGGAGAAAGAATATGAAAATCACCCATGGTTTTCTCCCCGCCACTACTAACCCTTTGGTGTATTTCTTTTGATCTTTTTTAAAAATCTTTTTGTTGCTGTTGTTGCTGTTGTTGTTGTTGTTGTTGCTTTGTAGTACTGTTAGTGTTTGTAATCATTAGAATTATATATCCGGGAACAGATAAAATATACAACTTTGTATCTTGGGTTTCCAACGTCATTTAATTTCTCCAAAGACATTAGCTTTACGGCTGTATAACAGCCCATCGTGTGCATATACCATCATTTATTTAACCATATCCCAACTGTTGGAAGAGCTGAAGTCATTTTTGTTTTTTCACAGGAGGTTCTTAATGTCTGCCACATGCCGCTCACAGCAAAGGGTAACACCGTCGGTCATTCTGTAACGTTCAGAAATTATCACTTCACCTGAGAATATGTGCAGATGGCTTTTTTTTTTTTCAAACTAATTCACTATATAGGAAGGTGGAAATCACCACATAGAAAGCTAGTCTGTAGCGTTTAACTGTATCCATTTTCTGTATCTGTCTAATCTGTCTATATCCACGAATACACTAGGCTACAAATTTATTTAGTGAAGGCATCTTCTTAACACAAATATTATTTAACTTTCACAATTAAATATCCATGCAGAGTACTCAAATTTGGGTAAATTATACACGTGCTCTATTAGTTACTGTTTGCACACGTCCTGTCTGTCGTAAGCAGGTAAGTGCGTCTCTCTGAAGGGTTATGGCTTAGGCTGAGTGCCTGGGACACAGGTGCCTCCACTTCAGTGCAGGCAAAGGAGAGTGAAGCGACAACAGAGCAGAGATGGCTCTTGAGGCAGCGGGTGCTGGGGAGGGTGAGGTGCTCGCAGCTCACGTTAGCCACAGCATGCAGCCTGTGAAGAAGAGAGAAGGGGACTCACTGGTGAGGAGGGCCAGGAAGCTAGGAACCAGGACTTAGGCCACTGAGGTGGGCTTGACTGGGCTAGAAGGAAGCCACTCAAGGTTGAAGCAAAAGAGAGACCATGAGTTTTCCAAAGAACACACCTGACAACAGCATAAGTGGATTAGAGCAGTGGAGGTCTGGAGAAGTGTGTGGGGGCTGGAACTGGCATGAACTGAGCTCTTGCTAAGGCCCAGACCTGGTGCAGGGCACGTTAGAGAAAGCACTGTATTTTGCTATCCACAGGAAAGAACGTGACAAAGACAAGTGTCAGCCCTAAAATCAAAATTCAGGCTCATTTGAGTCCAGGTGGATGCTTAGGGGCAGGGGAAGGAGGGTCAGAACAGAGGTAGAACCTCTGGGGATGGAGGGGAGAGGCACGTGTGTAGCGCAGCATGGAGATAAAAATGGGGAACTTACCAAGGAGCAGAGATGAGGGAATGAGGAGGATTGGGATACAAAACACAGCAGACATCAGGGAGTCCTGTGGGGGTACCACCTTGGCATATGCAGGAGAGGAGTGCTTTGAGGGTAAAGATGAAGAACTGGGTTCTAGAAGTTTAGAATGAGAGATACATCAGAATACCTACATCGGCATGCCCACTATGCCAAAAAAAAAAAAAACAGGAGAAATATGGACCAGACACCCAGGAGACAGGACTGCGCTGCTGATACAGGTATGACCAGCATCTCATTAGTGGAGATTCTGTTCTGATTTACATGGGCCTGCATTACCTTCTGGTGGCGGAGGCCCAATAATCATCACCTGCAACTTAAAGCAGAAGTTTATTGTGGCACAGTTTGTAGAGCTTTCAGTCCCTACAAGAGGGGCCCGGGGGAGGAGAGCTGCTCACAGCATGACGAACAGGAAGCAGGAAGTCAAGGGAGGAGCTGGGGAAGGAGATGAAGCCTTCTGAGCCACGCCCCCAGTGACCCACCTCTTCCGGCCACACCCACCTCCAAATAGCAAGTCAGCTGTAAACCCCTATAAACGTGAGCATCTTCCCAAATCTCTACCTCTGAGTGCATGAAGATTTGAGGAACATTTAGGTATAAGCTATAGCATCCATGAATACATTTGAATACAGCTGAAGTACAATTTATTACAAACAGAGATAAAGTTAAGCTCTTGCCTTTCAACTAAGAGAATGCTACTTTTTGCATTCTTTGATAAAGCCCAAAGCCAGAAGGAACCAGGTTCCACTTCCAGCTCCAAAACCTTGATCTTGCCCTGTGCCTTCTCATCAGGAACTTTGGCATCAGGCAAGGTCATGAGTTCCTTGCTTTCAACTTCATCAGGAATGTCTGGAAGACACCAGGAATCTGTCCTGTTCTTAGGCCTAGAGGGGCAGCCCGGAATCCAGGAATGTTCCCCTCCCCTCCATATCCAAAGTGCTGCATGCACAGAAGACCCTGTCCCTTTTCTTTTTATCCAATGACCAAGATGGTGTCTCTGGGAGGTAGAAATGAACCTTGAACTTGAACATTTTTTTCTGTGTGTCCAGGTATGAAGACACCAAAAGTGCAAAGGCCTAATAAGTTGGGTTCAGGTAAATGGAATTCCACTTATTTCTTCAGAGATCAGCTGGGAAGTAGAATAGGTGGGGCATCAATATATAAGCTTTTTGCTTTCAATTTTTTTTCTTTTGTATTTAGTTCAGGGTCTACAGGGTATCACTACACAGATCGGACTTGTAGTGTTTCTCCTGTTTTTGGCCTCCCACGTGCTGGCATTACAGGTACGCGCCACCATGCCCAGTCTCAGTTGCCATCTCAGTGCACCCCAGGGATCGAACCCCTGTCCCTATATCTCCCTAAGCAGGTGCTTTAATCATCTATCTTTGCCTTCAATATTTTACCCATCATACTTTAAAAAAAAAATCCATGATGCATTAAGGTTTTTTTTCCCAACTTGGTAAGTCAAACCATTGTGGAAAGACACTGTGGACTCCTGCTCATTCATGTTCCCAACTTTAACTTGTATTGGAGAACTGAAAAAAAGTATTTGCTTCAATGTTGCCCATTTTGTTGTAGGTTTTCACATATCTGCCAATGACCTTGGCCTCATGAGTGAGCACCTTGCTTCCGCAGATTTTCATAATCTGCCACAGAACAAAGATAATGTGGAGGATGGTAGGGGAGATTGGCATCCATGGGGCCAGAGGGGTGGGGTACGTGTCTCCTGAAGAATCAGACATGAACTGCATAATGAGCATTTATTTAACAAAAGCCCTAACAGCAACACACCAGCCAATTTCAAAAGGGGCTGACTACACACAGAGCATGAAAAATGCTTCCAGTCATGAGAGACACTTCGAGCATAGAAAGCAACCATAGAGAAAATGGGAAACATTGGAAAAGTGATGCCTAATGGCAAAAGCAAATAGAAAAGACTTTCTCGTCGCCTGACTCTAAGTGAGCTGCGTCCTGTGTACCGTCAACAGTGCCTGGCATGTAATAAGTGCTAAATAAATGTCAGCTCTTGCTCCCTTGTTAACTGCTTATTGTGGAAAGACACTGTGGACTCCCGCTCATTCGTGTTCCCAGTGAATGCAACTGGCACAGCGGCTCATTTTATGCAGGATCCGAGCTTCTGCCATGTATGGGATGCTGGGGGTGGAGGACATGCCTAAGAATGCAGCCTCAGCCTCAGTTCTCCAAGCGACTGCATGACTCTAGAAGCAGAATGGCACCTGAGAACAGGACCAGAGAGGCCCACAGTGGTAGGACCCCCGACCTTCTCAAGCACAGAGCTGGACTCTTCCCCATCTGAATCTTCAGTGCCTGGAATATTACCTGGCTGAGAGATGGACCTCAGTGAATGAATGAATGAATGAATGAATGAATGAATGAATGAATGAATGGGTTGGGCAATTAATGAATGGGTTGGGCAATGAATGAATGCCCTGAGAAATCCAGACCACAACCCTGCTCTAAAACTGAACTTCTGCCACAATGCGGGTGATAGGTAGGAGAACTGGGGAAGTGGCAGAGAGGATAGGGACCTGAGCTGGGGCAGAGGTCCTTGGAAAGTGAGAAGCGGCCTCCTCTCTGGAAGCTTCTCCACCTGCTTTTGATTTTTTTCCTGTCCCAAGCTCTAGTCCGTTTTGTTCTCCCCACCATCTCTGTCCACCAAGCCTGTCAGGGTAGGTGAACTCAGGCGTTGTATGTGTGTCTATGCCTGAATTTCTGACCACCCACACAACACCTTGTTTGTGCCACTCTCTTGTGTGACACGCACATGTAAGCCTCGTGACAGTCTTGTGATGTGGCCACTGTCAGAATCCCTGCTCATGAATGAAGAAGCAGATCCAGGAAGGTGTGAGCGTCACCCAGCCTGTAAGAGGTAGAGCCAGGGTGGAAGCCCTGATGGGTCAGCCCCAGACTCAGTGTCCCTTAGCACTGACTTTTACTGTCCACATTTCCAAGTGGTGCTGGGGCACTTCCCTGCGTCTCTGTGTGCCCTCAGCAACATTCTGGGTAAGATTCAGAGCAAATGAAAGCAGAATCTCTGGTATCTTTGGGCTCATCCCCTGCCAGTTCTTTTTCTCTGCATATAAATATGCTCAAGTCTTGCATGCTTTAAAGAAAGTCTCCCTCCCTCTTTGCTCCCCTTCACTGTCCTTCCGCTCCCTCCCTCTTCTCTCCTGCCAGGCTACTTGAAGCCTGCTATTTAAGCGCAACTTTTTCTTCCTTACCTCCCATTTGCTCCTAGTAAC